AATTGTTCTGCCCCGTTACCAAAGAACAAACATTTTGGTGGGGATGCTGGAGCCTCCCCAGAGAGGTGGGAAGGGGGCAGGAACGGCAGGCTGCGTCACAGCCACCATGGGCAAGCAGATGAGCAACCAGCCTGCCAATTTAATAGCCCACAGGGGCAGAAAAAGAAGGATTAATGCAGGCAGCACAATCGCTAGCACACTTCTAAGATAAATTTAAAAAAAAAAATAAATTTAAGTGGAGCGCTAGGAGGAAACTAATGATACACTGCCGGATTTACAGCATCTCCCACTTTGAAGGAAATCTGCTCGGCTTGGAGATACAAAGTGGTGTTTCCCATCCTCAGCCAAACAGCTCACCTTGAGCCCCTGAGCCGATGAATCCCTGCACAGTTTCTGCAATCAAAACGTAGCAATTTAGCGATAAGCAAAAGTAAACCTTTGTTTCTCCTCCCAAGGCCATGCTGGCTCTGCACAGCTAAGAGAGATAAAACATTATATTCTTCTCTAAAACAGGCAAGCAAAAATACACAAAGTGGATACAGTCTATGCACAATGCATGCATTTTAATAAAGGAATTCAAAGACATTTCTACATTGATTACTTTTAGAAGGGAGGGGGTATTATTTGTTTTACATTTTTGTACCTCTCCTGATATATTTTGTGCATCAAAGCAGTTTTAGGGTTACAGAGGCTTGGGGTAAAAGCAATAAAGCAGATAAAAATGTCAGTGGCAAGATACAACAAATTTATAGTAAATACCTGTCAACTGCTATTTATCTAAATTATCCAGCTCTGGGATTCTCCAGAAATACTTCATCAACTAGGAAGAGGCAGCTACAGTTTTAAACCTGTATTTACATCAGAATATGCTCTTTTTTTTTTTTTTTTGGACACTTGTTCTTTACCCTAAAATGACCCCTTTGTAGCTTGGACTTTCTGCTGTGCATTTAATACTGTTTTATAATATGATAATACTCTGAAACAACATATCTGCTCAGGACCACAGTTAGGCTTGGGTTTTGTGTCTATCCCTTTAAAAACCTTGTGAACATTGCTCCTTAGTCTAAAACGCTCAGTAATAGGAGGTCTCCAGAAGTGATGGGGTTTTGGGCTGCTTTTTTTTTTTTTTTTTTTGGACACTTGTTCTTTACCCTAAAATGACCCCTTTGTAGCTTGGATCAAAGAGCTGGGAGTGTCAATACCAGTGTCTTCATGAACATGTTAAGAACCTCAAAGTAATTGGTAACCAATTAGCATAAAGCTAAAAAAACCCACCTAGCTAAGGCAAACCCTAAATGAGTACTAACAGGCAACAACACTGGCTGAAGCAGGAGCTTAAAGGACTTAAATCATCATCAGCTGCCTTCTAGACAACTTCTTGGGAGCACCCTCTGTGCAAACCACTCTGACTCTTTCTGGCTTTTTTTTTTTTTTAATTCCTTTTTGCTCTTCGTTCACTCTTTGCTTTCTGTGTTCCTACAGCTTACAGGAAACATGAAACAAAAAATGCTTTTCATTTTATGTTATGTAAAGCAAAGCAATTCCATGTCTTGGCCTTGAAATACAAGGCACCCAACAGCTGTTCAGATGCTCCAGCAGATAAACCATCTGGCCCAAACCTTACCTTTCCTAATTTATTTTGGATATCGATCAAAGCAACTTAAGCATTACATAGACTTTGGTCAAAGACAACATAAAAGATAAAAACGTCAATGGCAAAATCACTTCACTGAAATATTCTTGTTTCTTCTTTATATAATAATATTACCATTTTCAACAAACTTCTCTATTAACTCAAGGAAAAGATATACCTGATACCAACAGCCTAGCAGCCTAACCACACTGCAGATGAATGTCCTTAAATAGCACATCACTGCTCAACAGAAACTAAGTGGGGTTTAGTGCTTAACATCAGCTAAAACTAGACACAGACTTTGGCCAACTGACCAAGGAGACCAGGACAGGCCCCAAGACTCACGTGACCTGGCTCTGCTGCCAGTACCCCCTGTTTACCCTTTTATATGATGCTCCTGGCATCTGAAGAACCACCATATCCATGGTTCCAGCTAGCTTGGTTTTTTCCAGTTTTCCTAGGAAAAGGACAGCATACATTTGCCTAGTAGTACCAGGATTCCCACCAAGACACCAAGGTTGTTCAGTGGTTACCGATTCACACCAAGTTGAAAACAAACCTCTCATCTGAAAAGCTTTTTTTAATGCAATTCAGAGTGCATTTGCTGCATGCAGAAACCACAGGCAGGGTAAGGACTTGTTGTTCTAGGCACTGTTCAGGGATGTAAACCCAAATCACGAAATCAAAGGGTTAGTTGAGCAAAGAAAGGCTATCCATGTGTACAACTCCATGTATAATAAACAAATACGCTCTTGTGATGTTTTGTTCAATATCTGCAGTACTCAAAGTCTCTCCTACGCCCATTTCTTCCTCAAGACACTCTCGGCCAGGCCGTTTCTCACAAGAAAAGGAATCTCCGATGAATAGTCCCATAAAGCATCCCATCAGAGCCTGTCCTCCCCAGAGCTGCCACCACGCCAAGGTCCAACTCTCAATTAACCCCCGCCTGACCTTCCTTCACTTTCTTTCCCCCTCCTCTGCCCTTCCTGAGAAAGTTCAGCATTTCCTGGAAAAGTCTCCTTGCCTGTTTGATATTGTACTTCGCCTTGGTTGCTGAAGGAAGGATTTACAGGTGCCTGGCCCCCTCTGTAAGACCATGACCGAAGGCTGACCTCCCGTTACAATATGTGAACTTCTGCCCTGCTGATAAGGCTGGCAGATATGAGTAGGATTTTTCAAATAATCCTTTGGGAATTTATAAGCAGCACAGCCATAAAACCGAGGTGACTGGAAGGTCGATTTCACTAAAAATAATAAATATCTCAATGTTTATTCAACGTGGGCCTTTTTAACTGCAGGCCAAGCATTTAGATAACGCTATTGTAAATGACAAATATTAGGATTTTTTGGTAACTATTACATTATGATCCTTCCGTCTGACACTGATGTGGCCGTTTTCCCTCGATGCTTGCTGGATCTCTGACATTGTTCAACCCAAGTTGGGCCTAGAAAGCCAGGACAGGATTCAATCACAGGTCAGCAAAAGGGCAATTTTCTTTTCAGAAGCCTTTTCTACAGTCAGTTACCTTTTTCTCTTGCTCCTGTCTCACCCACACACCTTCTTTAGAGTTCTGATGTATCTTTTTTCTCATTACGAAGGAGCAGGGGCAGAATGACTAAATGATCTCAGCTCAGGATGGGGACAGAGGAGGCTAACCCACTGGCATGAAACCACTGCATCAGCTCTAACTTCACCATCACCAACTCCACTGCACTATTCCCACCTCAAGCAGAAGACAATCTGATCCACCTCCACAGACCACTGCCCATGAAACCTATCTTCTAGAAGTAGCATTTCCCTAATACGCTTTGGAGGACCAATCAGTATTTCAGATTAAAAAGTAAAGCAACGAGACAACACCAAATCCCCAACATAGAAATGAGATAATTTCAAACGTGCAAAACTGTTATATCCATCAGTGAAAGCTCTTCATCCTTTTCACAACAGTTTTATGTATAAATACACAATTAAATAAATACCCTTGCATTAAACAAATGTACGTAAGTTACACTAATAGAATTCCTAATCCTGTTTTCATTATACATATTCTTCACTGAAGTTTCTCCAAATAAAATGACACTTTGAAATCCAGAAAGCATTTCAGACCAGTTGTAATCTTCAATTAGCACACTCCCTGAACCGGGCTCCCAGCGCCGGGTTTGAGGAGGAGGTTTTGGTCCAAGATAAACAGAGTAACACATTTTGGGTAGGTTAACTTTTTCATTCCAATAAAATATCATGGCAATGTAGCCAAATTACATAATTATTAACAGATGAGAGCACAAAAAGATTTTATATAAGTGTTTTTTATGACAATTCTTTTCCTTTCGCAAATTCATTTGTATGTATTGCTGGAGAAACTGGCTTTAGAAGTGCCTTAAAAACAATTCTCTCACAAGCCTGGCTCCACTGTGGAAAGGGAGGAAAGCTGCGAACAGAATGCTCCTTTCATCTGCTGCCTGGGCTTCAGATTGCTCAACCGCAGGAGAAGAGCCCTCTGAAAGCTCTGACTCTCCAAAGGACATTAAAGAATGGATGCAAACAACACAGGTTCTTTGGGTCCACAGATGCAAGACTCATATGCTGCTGGAGGCATCTTAGAAATTAAAAGTTGAAGGGTAAGCTACAAGGGCATCTTATTTGCCCTTGTTATAAATAAGTAAAAAAAATCAATACCTTATGTCCTCATAATGCCTAGGAGAAAACGTAGCTCATCTAGCAGCCTACATTTGCAGAGATGGGAGCTCTCTTGAAAAGTTCTCAAGAACATGACACGGTTCAGAGTAACACTTCTTAGCATTAACCAAACACAGAACGCTTTCAGTTTGGCCGTATTTTTCAGTGCACGCAAAGCCTAACTATTGGAAAATTGGGAGTGATACAGTCAAATGGTAGATTTGGTGGGATGACAACAAATCTGTTCCTGTCAAACAATGTCTGAAGAGCAGCAAAGTTCTCCTAAGCACAGCAAACAACACATTTAAAAACAATTTCTCTCCCCACCCGCAACTCCTCCATTTGCCCTGAATAATGAAGCTACTGTGGTCAAAGAAGAATTCTCAGAGGAAAACAGTATGACCAAGAAATACATATATTGTAAATCCAGGGTCTGCAATATTTGAAGAAAATATGCCTTTATATTTCTGTGGCCTGCATGAAGTAACTGTGTGGTATTTATCAAAATACATCTATCACTGGCCTGCTTTCTGCTTCAGGTAATGCACTTCCTAGGTAGGTGAATGTTAAGAAATGTTTTGCAACCACCTCCTTCGAGCAGCACCAGCAGAATGAGCAGCACCCCATTATCTTCTTTAAACCACAGTCCATTGTCACCACCAGTCTCACAGGCAGCACAGAGTTACTTACCAGGACAGAGTATATGTGCAGGCATCGGTACACCGGCGAGAAGTCCACCAGGTCCTGGGCCCCAGGCACCTAAAAGACAGCAGGAGATCAGTGTGAAATATGCAGAAAAAATATCAGTAAGTGCAACTCTAAAATACCTAAATATAGGCATGCAGGTTCAACAGAGTGACAACAACAATTAGACTGATTATTGGTATCTACCTATATCTGACTATATTTATTTTTTTTTAAGATTCTCAAAGTAGGAAAATTTCATTTAATATTGCTCTGACTCCATTTACACTCCCCTAGGAAATCACATTGCAGCATTTGGCCCGCTGTTAGCCAGCCTCACAGAGAATTAATTTAACCGTAGGGTTAAATACAAATTCCAGCATCCTGGCACAAGCCATTCTGGTCCTTATGCAACGGGGTGGGGGGGTAGACGGGACTAAACATTTATTCTCTAGATTTCTAGTTTGATTTCTTTAAAAGCATCAATTCTTTTTTTTTATTATTTAGTTATTTTTTCTTTAAAACACGCCACACAGACTCCAGCACCTTTCAACAACATAGTGAGTCTTGCACAGGGACAAGGAAGCACATTTTTGAAGGGTGGGACAGAGGGAGGGAGGGCGAGAGGAAAGATCAGAGAGAAAATTTGCATACAAGAAGCTTGTGTCCTTTGGATATGTTCAAGCCAACACAGTATTAAGCTTGTTGGCCAAGGCATAAAGCTAAGGCAACCCTCCTTCTCCCCCAAAATCCAGAGAGGAGGGGAGTGTTCTGTTGACATGTGGTGGAAAAAAGGGGAGAAAGATGAAAGGGACCAATGGACAGGCCTGGGAAGCATGTTTATTTTATACATTTTTAATTATGCTAAAAAGGAGGTAGGATGAAGAAGAGAGAAGTTTCTAGCTGGATGAGGGTTATGCAAGCCTCAACCAACGCTGCCCAAAGCACCTGGGGCGAGCGGTCCTCCTCATCTAAAGCATTGGCTTCAAGCAGGGGAGTGCAGAAGTTATGGGCTGGAAAGGGAAAACAGGCGATTTTGTTAAATGGCCTCCTGTGTAATGTGGAACTGGAGATGTTAAAGAATCTCCTTTATGCAAAGAAACCCAGCACTCAACACTACATATGTTCTTGCTAAGAACTGAAACAATGAAAGAAGCTACGGAGATGGACAGAGCAGCAACACACGGTGTGGGAGCATCCCATCCCACATCACCAGCACTGCTCCAAGACCCCCCAAAACTCGACAGTCTCAAGCTGGTGGTGCAGGGAGAGGAAAACAGCCGGCTCAGCAGGAACAAGGCAAGAAAGAGTTGTACTGGGGTACGACACGAGCCTGCTCATCTATCACACTGGGCTCTCCATGCCCCTCTTTGCAGCAAGCACTCCACTGTGCCATTTGAGCAGCTCTTACAGACAGGAAAGGTTGGCTCACCAGGAAGGAAGAAGGTTTCCAAGCAAGTGATGTGACTCACATTGCCTGTATAACCTTTCCATGTTGAACCCAGCTGTTCAACACACCCCAGCTGAACCAAGGGCAAGCAGCTGTGAATCACAGCTCACCGGTCTCATTGACATCTCTTACCTTTTATAAGACTATATTTGACAATTGCAAACACTAGGCAGCAGTTTTATTGTGTTAATGCCAATTTTATCATGTCGTCTTGGTCATTTATTTTCCATTTGCAGTCTCCCAGGCCTCCTAATGCTCTCTAAATAGCTCCCAAATCTAGATTTCAGCTACTTTGTGGATACAGATTTTGTCTTGCTGTATTCCTCCAGCATAAAGCGTAATTGGTCTCCAGTTGGTATAACAGTAAAACACTCCTGGTTCAGAAATCCCTGATTGCAAAACTGCTGGAGATCACTAAAGCAGACAGGAAAGTATCGGTATTCACTCGACCCAGCCATCCTCCAGCGACCACCATCAGCGCAGGGAAGCTGGACTGGATGGACCCGAGTCCACCCTGTGTTTTTCTAAGGGAGGAGAAATCTGTCATCTCTTCACAACATCATCAAAGCAGATGATGTTTTCCTATGAATTTGAATTCAGGATCAAACGGATTTGCTCCTCTTGGATTTGGGACACTAGTTGAACATGGTCCACGGAGAAATATTTCTGATAAAGATTTGTGAAATCAGGATATTGCCAAAAACGGAGTTTACTCCCCCAGAGAAATTCTTTCAAAGCAGACTGCAACATTTTCACAGTCTCTGATCTTCTGTAAAAACTTTTAAGCCCACACACACGCTCACAAAAAATATGCTGGACTATTCTGCAGAGTTAATATGTCTGAGACATTAACAGCTTTAAAATTGCTAATCTAGGTAGAACACTATCAGACGTGGAAATGCAAGTCCTGGACCACAAGAAAGCTTCTGCAAACAGAAAGACATGCACCCAAAACCTGTGCTAGGATTTTATGCAGGGTATAAGCCTACAATATATTTTAAGGAAAAGAACAGACCACCTCTCCTACATATAGCCATAGCACTACAACAGAAGAAATAATAATCTTATCATTTTAAATCTTTCCAGACTAACCAATATAGGCAACAGAATATACAGAATGTATGAAATTATCTTTGTGGACACTTTAACACGTTGCACAATTTAAACATTCTAATATAGAGATATTTATCTAATATTTAGATATTTAGACATATCTAAAAATTCAGCCTTAGCACATCCTCTTTAGCAGTGACTTGATTTTCCTAGCCAAAGCTGCAATACCAGTGTTCAAAAAAAGTAAATAAATCTTTGATTTTTGAAACTTGATGATGAAATGAGAACTAGAGCTGCCTCAACAACAGGACTGATTATTCCCCTGACACCTCCCCTTCAGCATAATCTTTTTTTTTTTTTTTTTTTTTTGAAAAAAAAAAAAAAAAAAAAAAAAAAAAAAAAACAACAAACCAAAAACCAAAATGTAGCTACTCCTTCATAAATGAGCTCTGTGGATTTTTATTTAGCAGTTCGTGGGGACGCTGATCATCCTTGTGCTGCTCGCTGGTTCTGGAATTTTTTTTTTTTTTTTTTTTTGATTTGCAGAACAAAGAATTTATTCATCTTGTCCAAAATTTTCCCAGTCCACAAAAGATCAGCTTCACAAACCTCATTCCCAACCCTTTTTCTGGCACACTCCTGGTGCTGGGAACAGAGGCAGACCTGTCAGTCTCCATAAACAGCCAGAGCCTCACTTTTTGCAAAAATGTTTTCAGGTGGGTTAAACACTACCTGCAGCAAATTCAACCCACAAAAACCAAGCTTTCAATGGAAGTGTTCAGCTGTAGCTGCCAGAAACACAAGGCTGGCCCAGACTTAAGGGATGCCCTGATCTGGCTTCAGACAAATTTGTGATACAATGGTTTGAATCTCTTCACACGACACACACATTGCAGAAAGCATCCGTTCACCATAAGGAGTAAAACTTTACTGCTCAAAGCTGTGTTGGTTCTGCACTGCACACAGCTCTGGAGTCCTCAGCACAAGACAGCCATGGACCCACTGGAGCCAGTCCAGAGAACACAGCAATGGACCAAGGGCTGGAACACCCCTCTTATGAGGAAAGGCTGAGGGAATTGGGGTTTTTCAGCCTGCAATAGAGAAGGTTCTAGGGAGACTTTGTTGTGGCCTTTCAATACTTAAAGGGGATTTATAAGAAAGGTGGAGATAGACTTTTTAGCAGGGCCTATTGCGATAGGACAAGGGGTAATGGTTTTAAACTGAAAAGGGAGAGATTCAGACCAGACATAAAGAAAAGCTTTTTTACAGTGAGGGTGGTGAAACACTGGAACAGGTTGCCCAGAGAGGTGGTAGATGCCCCATCCCTGGAAACATTCAAGGTCAGGTTGGATAGGTCTCTGAGCAACCTGATCTAGTTGAAGATGACCTTGCCTGTGACAGGGGGGTTATACTAGATGACCCTTAAATGTCCCTTCCAATCCAAACTATTCCATGATGCAACAAATCACATCTAGTCTCTGGGCACCAGCAGCCAGGAAGCAATTTATCTCATGCTGAATGGAGGTACAGAACAAACCGTGCTGTAGATTTACTACATCTTATGTTGTCTTGGTATCCTTTGGCTGCTGCAGTGTGACCCATGGCTTAACCTTAGGGAAAAAAAAGAAACCTGCATTTGCACAGTCAAAAGGATGCTCAGGACACTGTGATATTGGAAATGACCAGATGGTCCTGCAGAGTAACTGATCTCACTCTGGCTCACGTTATAGACAACAGGCAGACAGCTTTGTCTGGAAATGGAGAGGTTTCTCTCAGTGTCCAAGATGTTTTTGGCATAATTACTAGTGGAAGCAAACAAAAGGTAGAGGCTGATGGCACCTAACAAAGCCATTTATCAGGGAAAGTCAAGAGAGTTCTCTGTGGTCTCTGCTCCAACTCCCAAAACTTTGTAAGAAATCTATTACATGCACTTTGAAAATTACAGCTTATTCCTACAGCCACGTCAACCTGAAAGAATGCCAGAAGCATGATGAATTTGGGCCACACCTCACACCTGCTGATGTCCTAAGTGCCAAAGTCCTTCTCCAAATAGAAAACTGACTGGAATTTGTTGAATTGTTCTTCAAAGACAGTCGAGTAGCTGTTATTCTGGAGTGTGATGTCCTTCCTTAAAATTTCCCCTTATCCCACAAAGGAGCACCAGGGAGTCCAATTCGCCCAAACCACTTCACAGACACCTGACCAGTCTTTTTTGGGGACAAGAAGAAATGAGGCAAAACACAGGCAAGTTTGTCTTGCTGGATTCAACAAGATCACAAAAGAAAAGTCACTGAAAATAAGAAGAATCTGGATGAGCTTTGTAGTTTTCTAGATGCTTTTTACTACAAAGGAAACAGCTGGCACAAACTGAGCAGACTGTGGAGCTACTAACTGTGAAATGCAAATCCTCCTTCTGAAACTTGACATTCATAAAAACCGGATTTAAGCCTTCTCCCAGCTCACTTTACAGCTGTGACCACTTCCTCCCTCTGATTACAGTGGGAGCTTCCACCTCAGAGAAGCATCTGTACTTAAGTGGGACAATAATGTCTCCAAACTGGACAGCACTAAT